AACCACTCTGCAAACTCAAGTGTGTGCCAGGCATACACTTCTTGGTGCATGCCTGCAGGCACACACTTGCTTGTATGGATGCATTAGCGACGGTACGTGTGTGCCTGAGGCATGCAGCAAAGAAGTGTGTGCCTGCAGGCGTGCAGGAAAAAAGTGTGTGCCTGCAGGCATGCACCAAGAAGTGCATGCCTGGCACACACTTGAGTTTGCACAGCACGCGCTCGCTTGCGCATCTCTCACAGCAGGGACTCTACGGTCCCAGTCTAGGGCGTGAGGCGGCCGACCCGGCTTGCTGACAGTGCGGTGGCGCGGGGCAGGGGTGGGGAACGGGAGGGGGAGTGCTGGCTAGCGCCGCGCAGCCTGGCGGGGTGGGGGCTGGCTGGTGGCTGGGCTGCGCGGCAGCGGAGGCAGACAGGCCAGGCACTCCAGCCGTCTGATTCCGAACACTGCTTCGTCACTCTGTCTCTCTCGCACCCCTACGGACCGCCCCATGAGTGCGAGAGAGACAGAGCGACGAAAGCAGTGCTCGGAATCAGACGGCAGGCAGGTGACGGACAGACAGACGCACGGACGGGCGAACACGCACGCACACTGAGAAAACCTTACAAACTATTTCAGGCCTCACAAAGCAAAGCAGTTTGTTTTAACAAAGTATTGAGAGCATGCATGAGCTTACAAAGAAAATACTTCGTCATTTACGAACTATTACTTCGTATAACAAAGTAAATTAGTTTGTGTCGTGTATGCTCAAAATACTTTGTAAAGGTTTCAAGCGCGCAGAACCGAGTCCCCTCACAGACATTCCTCTGGCGCACAGCTTGGCGCCCGCAGCCTGAGAACATGCTGCCACATTATCTGCACTATGCTATATTCAGTTAGAGGATTTTCTGTTTTCACTGAGGTGAGTGTGGATTCTACGCCTCCAGAGGCGTGGATCCACGCGTCTTCACTGAAAATCGAAATAGTGTACGCTCACTCCCGCAGGATGAGACATAATGATCCACTGTTACTAAAATGTATCACCGTGCGTACGCGTGTATCCGAAAAGTCTACACGCATTATCATGAAACAAAAGGTCGTACATTTAACTGAAAATGGCGTGTACTTCCTCCGACTGGCCTTCTCCGAGGCACCTGGAACCGAGACCTTTTCGGTGTACTGCGGAGACCGCAACGCCGGTAACTAGATGCCAAGGTGGATGCTACCCTTGCGCGCGGGTTGAAAACGCGCGTCAGCCCGAGGGGCAGATCCATTTTGCACCACCTCACCTGTGAAACGAAAACCCTAGCACGGTTTGCGAGGAGCCTGGCGCCTGAAGACGTCCCGTCCGGGGAGGGCAAAAGGCATTGCCCCCTTTGACCCTAATACCCTATGTGCAAAAAGCAATTTTCCTGTAAGTAGGCAAAAAGTGCTACTTTGCCCCCCCCTAGGCCGACTCTGGATCCGCCACTGGCGGGGAGGGGTGGGGAAGGGGAGGAGAGCGGAGCGTCGGCGCGGCGAGGCGGCCCGTCAAGCTGGCAGACAGGCCAGGCAGCAGGCAGGCGGTGAAGTGAGTGATTCAGAAGATCGCTTTGTCGCTGTCTCTCTCGCACCCTCACGGAGAGCCCCGTGAGTGCGAGAGAGACAGAGCGACGACTCTTTTTGAAGCGCTCGGCAGCCCAATCGATCACGCAGGCAGAGCCGAGCCCCCTCACGGCTATTCTTCTGACTCACTGTTTCGCGACTCGCAACCTCAGAGAACTTGCATGTTTGCTACCTTTGTTAACTGCGTAATGGATCATCTGCTAAAATTGTTTCCGGTGTACCGAGCGGGACGCCTCAGCGCAAGGCCCGCACCACCGGCCGCGCCCACGGTGCACTGGTAACTTTGTTCTGGACCATACGCTCTGGTCCTCAGCGCGGGAAGGGGGCGTTATTAGGCAACAGTTAAGGAATTCCGTAGTGAAGTACAAATCATGTTCATGGCGCTGAAACCTCGCTCGCACTCAGCTCTCAGCTGAACTAAGTGAGAAGGTCTGAATTAGAGCTTTTGAGAGCTCGAGTGCAGCAGGTAATTGTTCTTATTCATCATCAAACTCCTAATGCATTGACCGCTTCCGTGGCGCCGCGCCCCATCCGACACTCGAGATGAGAGGGAGAAACGACCCTAGGGGCCGCTGCACAGTGGGGCAGAAGACCGGTGGAGGCGGACAAAACTCCAAACGCATTTCGAGCTGCAGAGTCGCGAAATGGGACTCGGATCGAATCGAGCGTGTGACCCCACCAATGGATTCCTCGTCCGGAGAGCAATTCATTGGTGGAGTCGCACGTTCGGTTCGAGCCCCATTTAGCGACTCTGGAGCTCAAAACGCGTCTAGAGTTTTAGCCGCCTCCAGACTGTGCGGGGGACCGCGGGACCGCTGCGCGATGCGTGCTACTGCGTGTGGAGGCCCTCGCTTGGCGGACCCCCACTCCGCCAGCAGACGAGGGCGGCGCGGCACGGCACGGTGCGGGCGGCTCCGAGACTACCATCCTCTAATCTAGCCAGCCAGCCGCTCGCACTCCCCGCAGAAGAGCGCAAGCATTTTGACATTTTTAGCAGATGATACGTTCTCGTATCAGCGTGCTTGTACTCTCGTTCAGAGAGTACCGAGTTTCCGGCTAGCCAGGCAGCAGTTGCCTCGTTGCCTAACTAGCAAGCCTAGAAGAGGCCGAGCGCCTCGCTGGCAAGGCAGCGGCTGGCTGGCCTGTCTAGAACATTATGAGCGGAGCCGCGCCGCGCCGTCGCGCGCCCGCCGCTCATGAATCGGGGCGCCTGCGGGGGCTCGGGTTGCGCGCGCGGCGTATAACCTCGACACCCAGCTGTAGTACTCATGAAGTGCGTCCCTCACGTTGCGCGGTGCCGCTTCCCTTCCTCTCATCACGAGACGCTGCTAGCACGCATCACGCAGCTCGCCCCCCCCCCCCTCCCCCCCCCGGCGCCCCTTCCTCTGCCTAGACGCCACGTCCCGCCGCGCCCCGCCACAGTCCACGCGCACGCACACACACACACACACACGCACAAACCTTGAGTGCGTAGAACGCATAGTGCAGCGCCCCCCCCCCCCCCCCCCCTCGGAACCCCTGCCCCTCTCGAGAAGCGGCGCGCCGGCAGTCGGCAGTGCACGCCACTCATGCTTGCTTATCTTGAGCGTCTCGGGTTCGTGTGTCGCAGGCCGCGGCCGGCCGGCCCTGCTTGGAGATGTGGCCGACACGCTGCGTCCGGCGAGGCATCCCGCCCTAGTACCGAAAACAACTTTTACGGCTGTTGAGTATTCATGTGATTAGCCACCAAATTGGGCATCCTCGCTTTGAAACAACGAAAATGATACCCAACACAAGTGGTATCCGACATATGTTTACACAAAACAATGGCACGTTAGGATATCTAAAAGTAAAAATAAAATTGACATTTGCGTGAATTATTATGCGTAAAAAAGAGTTCCGAGTGTTTACTCTTCCAAATTAATTCACAAAATGTCACATTCGTCATCGACAAATTTTTCAACACATCGTGGAGAAAAATAACCACCACACATTTAAATAAACATTCTCATTAGTATCATCTGCTTTCACGTTAGCGTTAGCGTTAACGTTTTTTTATAATTGTAATTACTATTTCTATTTTTGAGTCTAGCTGTGTACATAAACTTATCATCTGCTAAAAATAGTTTCGATCATGTTTCGCACATTTAGGCCCTTTTTGTGGCCCACTGACTGAAACCACTGAAACCCAGTCCTTGTGCCGCACGGTGGGCCGGTGGAGCGAGGGGTGAATCACCAGTGTACTAATTTGCCCGTACTCAGTGTACTCACAGGCTTAAAAAGAACGAAATTCTCTAGTTTTTCGACCGATTTGGCGTTGAGTGCCGTTTAAAACGCTAGATAAAGCCATAAAACGTTTACAAATGTGAAATTTATGAGTAAAGCAAGGTGTACTCACGCGTACTCACGTACTCATGTGTGCACTAGGACGCTGAGTGATTCACCCCTCGCGGTGAAGGCGGTCCAAATCCCGGACGCGTTTTGAGCTCGACTCGACGTGTGACCCCCCCACCAATGGATTCCTCGATCGAGCAATCACTGTGGCAAAAAGGTACGGAAAATCCTGTAATTTTTTTGCCAGGATTCTCCGTAGCCCCCTTATCAATATTCTCCGTAGGCTCTTACAGTATTCTCCGTAGGGCCGCACAGTATTCTCTGTAAATCCGCACAGTCTTTCTCCGTAGGACATCGAAGACTGTATAGTCCTACGGAGATCACTGTGCGCTCCTACGGAGAATACTGTGCGGTCCTACAGAAAATACTGTAAGAGCCACGGAGAATATTGATAAGGGGCCTACGGAGAATACCACAAGCTGTTTACAGAATTTTCCGTACTTTTTGCCACGTGATCCATCGGTGGGGTGACACGCTCGGTTCGTGTCCCATTCAGCGACTCCGGAGCTCAAAACGCGTCCGGGATTTTGACCGCCTTCACCGGGTCTTCTGGCCCACACAGTAAAAGCGGTCCATGGGTTTTCCAGGGAACTTCCCCGGGAAAGCCAGGAACCTTTTTCAGCGTGCACTGTGCGGCGCGGCACCGCTGCGCGAGCGCGCAGAGCGCAGTGCCTCGGCGGCGCCGGCAACGAACGGCAACACGGCGCGGGCGCGAGCCCCCTCCACTATATGAACTGGGGAAAGGGGGAAGGGAGGGGTGCGGTTATCGCGGCACGCGGGCATGCGCAAGGCCCTGGCCTGGCCGGCTGTATGATCCTGGGGGTAGGGCATGAGGGGGGCGGGAGCTACTTGAGCGGAAAAGTATAAGCTGGAAGCACTTGCTTAGTGCTCTGGTGCTGCTGGTATACCTGTCAGTTTCACCGATATCCAGTGCTGAAATACACAGTCAACTACATCTCAAAACACGGCAATGTGCTTTCGTTGACGAGGGTTGCCTTTCCCTGCTGTTGTCAACATTGGTCTCGCCCGCTGGACAAGCTTACCGGTCTGTCACTGGAGTATCAGTCCCATATCCTGCCCATGCTGGCTATGACAGGCCTGCTGGGGGTCGTCTCGCAAATCCACGCCGACTTTGCTGTCAGTTTTTGTTTCAACGGAAGACTGACTAGGTTGCCGCGCCTCGAACGCGCGGACACACACACACACACACACACACACGCACTGACACACGCGCACGAACACGCACCGGCGCACGCAAGGCCCACGGCCTCAACCGGGTTGTATACACAGCGGTGAGACGCAGCACGACGACGTGCGGCTCCCCGCCAAGCCACGACACCCAGCCAGCGCGCCGGCCGAGACGAGACTGCTGCCTTGCCTTGCCTGCCTAGCTAGCTAGCAGCGTGCCGTGCCCCGCCTGCTGCCAGCCTGCCTTGCCTGGCCTGCCTGCTGCGTGGTGGGTTGCGCGGCCCGGCGCGCCGCTGCGCCTGCGCCGCGTCCCCCCCCCCCCCCCCCCCCCCCGGACACTCCACGCCGCCGCCGCTATCTCTCCTTACGCGCATAGAGTCCTATACACCTGTAGGACTCAACGCACGCGCGCAGACCCAAATGGGCTTTGCAGCAGATGATACATTTCGAGGCGTCCCATTCAAAAGATCTTATCTGGGCGTCCCCCCCCCCCCCAAGCAAGCGCGTTGGAACGTCAAACAAGTTTGGGGGTCAAGGTATTGCATGTTGCCTACCTCGCAGGGGATTGGCCCGGGGCAGCTCGAAAACTGGGGGGTTGGCTGACCCTCTGACCCGGTGCTTTCGGTGCCACTGCCCCCAAGAGAATCTTCTTGTAAACGCAGGCGAATTTCACTCCGTTTGACCATTTGGGACGGATACGAGAGTGAGCAGAACATATTCCTACAGGCACTAGTGGTCCCTTTGATCTCTCACCTTCAGATTGAAGTAAATTAAATCACAGATTATGTTGATTTGTAGCTGTATCAAATGATCAAACTCACCTGCGTTTAAAATAACATTCCCTTTGCACTGGTAAAACAAAGGCATAAAAATTACGCCCTTTAGGGCATAAATGCTCTTTTAGCCCTTGCAAGGGCATAAATCGTTATGCCCTTGGAAGGGCGTAATGGTATGCGAAATTTCAGCAAATTTTAATCCCCTCCCAAAGCATTAACGATTTATGCCCTTTAAGGGGCGTAAATCGTTTACGCCCTTTAAGGGCATAATTTTATGCCTTTGTTTCACCAGTGTGGGGAATGCCCAGATAAGATCTTTTGAGTGGGACCTCTCGATTTATGTTCACAGCTAGACTCAAAAAAAACACTGGTAAAACTAAAGCGTAGTTTTACGCTTCAAGACTTTACACCTTTGAAGCGCACAACTACGCTTCAAGATGATTCCCCCCCCCCCCTTTTTCCTCATGCATTTAGATAGGAGGAAAGGAGCGCATGAGCTCTTGAACGATTCAAGAAGGGCGTAATGCTACGCTTTAGTTTTACCAGTGAAATAGAAATTGAAACTGTAAATGTGTCAGGGCGCTTGTACTCTCGTGGGGGCAGGCCGAGCGACTAGCTGGCTAGGCAAGAAGATTCTGAGTGGAGGGCCCGCGGCCGCGGCTTGCCGCGGTTTTCTTGTGGCGGCGGCTGTGGAGGCTGCGGGTTGCGCGCGCCCCGTATCGTCTCATCTGTCTGTGGCAGATGTTATATTGTGACTGACAATGACAATTTGTGCTCTTGCACGTTCTTTTTAGCAGGTGATACGTTCACGTATCAGCATGCTTGTACTCCAGTGGAGAGTACCGAGTTTCCGGCTGGCCAGGCAGCAGCGGTTGCCTGGCTGGCCTGTCTAGAAGATTATGAGCGGAGGGCGGCGGGGCGTGCCGCGCCGCGCCCCGCTCATGAATCAGCGCGGCTGCGGGGACTCGGGTTGCGCGCGCGGCGTATAACCTCGACACCTCTAGTACTCTAGTACTAGTCCATGAGTACTCCAGTACTCATGAAGTGCGCCCCTCGCGTTGCGCAGTGCCGCCCCGCCCCCGCCCCCCTCTCGTTACGAGACGCTGCTAGCACGCAACGCGCAGCTCTGCCCCCCGCGCCCCTTCCCCTGCCGAGAGGCCATGTCCCGCCGCACCCCGCAGCAGTCCACACACACACACACACACACACACACACACACATACACTTGAACCTTGAGTGCGTAGAACGCATAGTGCAGCGCCCCCCCGAACCCCTGCCCCTCTCGAGAAGCGGCGCGTCGGCAGTCGGCAGTGTGCGCCACTCTTGCTTATCTATCTTGAGGTCGGGTTCGGGTGGCGCGCCAGCCGGCCGGCCCCGCTTGGAGATGAGGCTGACACGCCGCGTACCGCAAGGCGCCTTGCCCTAGTACCGAACACAACTTTTACGGGTGTTGAGTATTTATGTGATTAGCCACCAAATTGTGCATCCTCGCGTTGAAACAACGAAAATGATACCCAACACAAGTGGTATCGGACATATGAGTGTCCCGCCGTCATTGCGAACATGTTTAACACAAAACAATGGCACGTTAGGATATTCAAAAGTTATACTAAAATTGGCATTTTCATGAATTACCATGCGTAAGAAATTTGTCAAAAAAAGAGTTCCGAGTGTTTACTCTTTGAAAGAAATTGACAAAATGTCACATTCATACATTTCAATAAACATTCTCATAAGTATCATCTGCTTTCACGTTAGCGTTAGCGTTAACGTTTTTGGTAGAGTGACAGTCCACACACACACACATCCACTTGAACCTTGAGTGCGTAGAACGCATAGTGCAGCCCCCCCCCCCAAAATCCCTGCCCCTCACGAGAAGCGGCACGCCACTCATGCTTGCTTATCTTGAGCGTCTCGGGTTCGGGTGTCGCAGGCCGCGGCCGGCCGGCCCTGCTTGGAGATGTGGCTGGCACGCTGCGTCCGGCGAGGCATCCCGCCCCAGTACCGAAAACAACTACGGGTGTTGAGTATTCATGTGATTAGCCACCAAATTGTGCATCCTCGCTTTGAAACAACGAAAATGATACCCAACACAAGTGGTAGCCGACATATGAGTGTCCCACTGACATTGCGAACATGTTTAACAAAAAACAATGGCACGTTAGGATATCCAAAAGTTAAAATAAAATTGACATTTTCGTGAATTATATGCGTAAGAAATTTGTCAAATGAAGAGTTCCGCGTATTTACTCTTCCAAATTAATTCACAAAATGTCACATTCGTCATCGGCAAATTTTTCTACTCATCGTGGCGAAAAAAACCACCACACATTTAAAAAACATTCTCATTAGTATCATCTGCTTTCACGTTAGCGTTAGCGTTAACGTTTTTTTTGAAAAAAGTTACACTTTTTTCAAAAAGCTGAAATATCTCGGCCAATTTTAAAGCTACATAAAAACCGAGTACACCGTTGGAAAGAGCACAAAAAAATGAATCAAATCAAGTCTTAAAACGTCCCTTAAGGTCCATGAACATTTTATCATTTTCTCTCAAACTGAAAAAATCGGTTTTTGCTATACCCAAAATACCTCATCTTCGATTTGCTTCAAACTTGGTGGGAAGGCTCCTCAGACCATCTACTTTAATGCCCTAAAATATTGGGAATCTTTTTTGCCTCGTTCGCCGTCCACAGGGCCCAACGTGTGTCGGTGCACCCAAAAAACAGCAAAAAACAGCCGAAAAATTGACCTTTGGCCACCGTTGCCTCTCCTGGTTGTTTGAATTGCGCGCCAACAGTTGCGTGGTTGCCAATTTTTGGCCCGTCCCGTTTATTTTTTGTAAAAAAATGACGGAGGGACGGGCATATAGTATGATGCATGCTGTGCGTCCGTTCGTTCGTCCGTCCGTTCGTTCGTTCGTCCGAGGACTTCCCGTGGTCCGATCTTGACCAAATTTGGTATGCAGCCTCCTTGGGTGACCCTTAGAACCGCCCGGTGGCAGCAAATCCGATCCGAGCCCCGGGGGTGCTGCTGCAGGTGCATCACGGTCTACATGGGGTCGAGGAGGATTTCGGCAACGGATACGGCTAGCAGGGCATGTAGGGGTATTTTTGGAATCGGGGCGACGAAACAAAACCAACGGTGCCAGTTTCAAGCGAATCGGAGAAGTTTGGACCCGGGTTCAAATCCCAGTGGGGTATATTTTGAACATTCTTTTTATTCGAGTTTGTGCATTGTTTCTTATGTTTTTGAGGGTGTTGATGACGAAAATAACATCTATTTTGACCCCAGACTCCAGTTCAAAGCCGTCACGGTTAAACAAAGGCGAAATTCACACATTTGTTAATGCACGGGACGGGCCAAAGTTGATGTATATCGCTACTTCGAGGGGGTAAACACTCGGGGTTTTGGTGTACAGACTACTCCCTATTACGCGTATTACGGGTATTACGTGTGTATTACGGGTATTACATGTGCATTACGGGTATTACAAGTGTATTGCGGGTATTACAGGTGTATTACGGGTGTATTACGGGTGTATTACGGGTGTATTACGGGTGTATTACGGTGCTCATGGAATATCAACGGAACAGTTTCTATGTAAAAAAAACGTACCCGTCATACGCGTAATACAACAGTAATACGCGTAATACAACAGTAATACGCGTAATGCACACGTAATACGCGTAATGCACCCGTAATACCCGTAATACGCGTAATACAACCGAAATACACGTAATTCACCCGTAATACACGAAAAAGTGTGGGTGATAATGAAAAATTCTGTACCAATTATACAGGAGGTCATTGTGGGGAGGTTATTTCACAGGGTCCATTGGGGGTATTACGCGCGTATTACAGGGCATTACGGGGTATTACGGGGTATTACTGGGTATTGCAGGGTATTACAGAGTATTACAGAGTATTACAGGGTATTACAGGACAGCTTGTACAGGGTATTACACGAGTGTTTACCTCCTCGCGCTACTTTTCCTGTTATTCATACTCCAACCCGTTCCGCCACCTTGTTTTGATTCGCTTTCGTGAAGAGGTTAGAGGGGTTCGTTACACAGCAACGGATTCAAGAGTTTCATTACTTTTAATTCATGACAACACCCGAGTAAAAATAGAAGGCTGCAGAAAGGCTGACGCACGGCTGACGCATGGCTGTATGGACCGTTTTTTGGCTGTATGCATGGCTGCCGTGGCTGCGTTGCAGCCATGTCGCAGCCATAGCGACGTCCTGGACTTGCAGCCATGCACGCTGCAGTGGCTGGTCTGGCTGTTTCACGGAGCGCTTTGGCTGTGAAACGCTTCAGAAGCTGCGCACAGAAGCCTTTTGGCTGCCCTAAGCAGCGTATTAACGCTGCCACGCACAGCCAACTTAGCTGCAGTGGCTGTAGGCTGTGCGTCGCAGCGTGTTGGCTGCTGGCGCCAGCCCTGCCGCGTAGACGTTACAGCCATGTAGGCTGCAATGGCTGTGGGCCGCGCGTCGCAGCGTGTTGGCTTCTGGCGCCAGCCGGGCCCCGGCTGCACTTTACAGCCACGTAGGCTGCAGTGGCTGCAGGCTGCGCGTCGCAGCGTGTTGGCTGCTGGTGCCAGCCGGGCCGCGGCTTGACTTTACAGCTATGTAGGCTGCCATGGCTGTAGGCTGCGCGTCGCAGCGTGTTGCTGCTGGCGGCAGCCGGGCCGCGGCTGGATTTTACGCCACGCGGGCTGCAATGGCTGTAGGCTGCGCACTGCGCGTCGCAGCGTGCTGGCTGCCTGCGGCAGCCTGGCCGCGGCTGCACTTTACAGCCACGCAGGCTGCAATGGCTGTAGGCTGCGCGTCGCAGCGTGTTGGCTGCCGGATGCAGCCGGGCTACGGCAGGACTAAACAGCCATGTAGGCTGCAATGCCTGTAGGCTACGTGGATGCTGGCGGTATTCAGGCAACGGTCGTATTCCTTGATTAAAGGGCTATAAAAAATAGAAAAAAATAGACTGGGTGCGTGGAATGCTGATATTTGAGTTGAATACGTTAACATACATAAACCATGCAAGTTTCGTAAAAATCGGGAAACTTTTTTGCTATCTTTGATATCTCGGGAACGGTAAGTCCTACATGAAATTACTTATCAAATTTGGATCCGGAACGGTGTTCTGACCCTAGAAAACCTTCAAAGGGCTCCATAGAACTTCAAAGGGCGTAACAGGGACCCTCAAAGGTCCTCATGGAGACCTTCATGAACTAAGGAGTGAAGCCTAGTAGCGATTGGATGCTGCCGATGGCATCCACGAGGCTGCAGGATGCGGCCGAGATGTGGCTCTGACCCGCAGCTTCATAGCTGCGGGGGCAGCGTGGGCCGGGCGAAAGAAGGCTGCCCGGAGCATCCTGAAGGCTGCGGGGTGCAGTCTACAGCAGCGCCTCACAGCCTCTAGGCTTCCGGGGACAGCGTGGCCCGGGCGAAGGAAGGCTGCCTGGGGCATCCTGAAGGCTGCGGGGTGCAGTCTAGAGCAGTGCCTCGCAGCCTCGTGGCTGCTGGAGGCAGCGTGGCTCGCGAAGGAAGGCTGTCTGGCGCATCCTGAAGGCTACGGGGTGCAGCCTAGAGCAGCGCTGACTGGGCTCCAAAGGGACACTTCAGTGGCTGGCAGGTGCAGCCAGAGACGCTGCACCGGCTGCGGATGGCTGTATTTTGGCTGACGTATGTCCGAATACAGCCAATGTCTGCAGCCATCCGAGTTCCATCCGCGCGTTGTAAGCAACCTGGAGGGAGCCAGCCTGCAGCCAATCTGCAGCCTATAATTTTCTCTCGGGCATGCAGTGCTACCCGCAAAACAGCCGGACCACTGATTGTGGTCCGGAGCTGGTGCCGGCCGAAGAACTGATTCTGTCATGGAACTGATTCGAAGAAGAAGTGGTCTCTGTCAGAGTATAGACGAAGTTTGTGTCAAACACTTTAAAGAAATTGTAGTATTTCCCCTTCGCAAAAGAAAATGTGTTGATCCATTTCATAGACACAGGAAATGTGTGTCTAAGAATCTTTCAGAGGTTAAAGTGTTCCATAAAGTGTCTCACACACACTTTTTCTATATTCTGACAGAGACCACTTCTCCTTCGAATTAGTTCCGTCAAAGAATTACTAAGCTCTTCGGTCGGCACCAGCTCTGGACCACAATCAGTGGTCCGGCTGTTTTGCAGGTAGCACTGCAAGTTGTCATGAATTAAAAGTAATGAAACTCTTGAATCCGTTGCTGTGCAACGAATCCCACTAACCTCTTCACGAAAGCGAATCAAAACAAGGTGGCGGAATGGGTTGGAGTATGAAAAATTGGCAACCACGCAACTGTTGGCGCGCAATTCAAACAACCAGGAGAGGCAACGGTGGCCAAAGGTCAATTTTTCGGCTGTTTTTTGCTGTTTTTTGGGTGCACCGACACACGTTGGGCCCTGTGGACGGCGAACGAGGCAAAAAAGATTCCCAATATTTTAGGGCATTAAAGTAGATGGTCTGAGGAGCCCTCCCACCAAGCTTGAAGCAAATCGAAGATGAGGTATTTTGGGTATAGCAAAAACCGATTTTTTCAGTTTGAGAGAAAATGATAAAATGTTCATGGACCTTAAGGGACGTTTTAAGACTTGATTTGATTCATTTTTTTGTGCTCTTTCCAACGGTGTACTCGGTTTTTATGTAGCTTTAAAATTGGCCGAGATATTTCAGCCAGTTGTAAAATTTACAAATGCTTATATCACGGAAACGGCTTGAGATAAAGTGCTAATATTTTGCAGGGATCCAAAGGGCACTAGTAAGAATCGATTCACCGAGTTTGAGCGAAATCGGTGAGGTCGCGCCGAAAAAGTGTTATTCGCTTCCGTGGAATTACCCTACGGTCCGTACAGCATTTTGGACTATTTCACAAACGGAAAACCGAAACGGCAACCTCCGGTGTAAAATTAGCGGTACATTTTCCGTTAAATTTCCGTACCACGCTTTACAAAGCACAGGCTCTTATGGGAGGAGTGGTACGGCAGATGTCCGTATCACCTACAGGGGGTATACGGGACGCCGTAGCATGCTCCGTATCCGACACTAATTTTTTTGCATTGCGGTCTGCGAGGGCAAGGGTTCACCGGACCTATAGCCAGGTGACCTACCCTTGGTAATATTTACATAATCTACATTTTATCACGAATATTTAAAATATTTACAGTGTAGGGGGGGGGGGGGATCTTGGAGGCCACCTACTCTGCTGACGGAGCTTCCGGCGGCCGGTGCGGTGCTGACCTTGCACTGACGGCCGTGCTCGCGGGGCGCTGGGCCTTCGCCGTTGACAGTTGGCCTTCGGCGTTGGTGCAGGGAGGTCGTTGCTGCTTCGTGCGGGGCAGCCACGCGGTCTACACGAAGTCGTTGGTGGGGACCTTCAGGTAGGTCAACGGGCGGGCACCGTGTGCGGGTGGCGCGGGCGGTGCCGTCGGCTGGTTGAACTTCTCGGCGCTGGCCTGCTGCTCGAGGGGGTGAGTTGCAGTGGCGCCCAAACGTTTTGAGGACGGTGTAGCAAGCCTTCTGAACTCCCTCCCTTTAAGCTCCAAACCTCCCTTTAAATCTTCACCCCCCCCCCAAAAAAAAACTTCAAAATTCGTTTGGAAGAAAAATGCACTGCATTCCGATCGTCTTATTTCGTCGTGACACGCCCCCATTTGCTATGGGCCGTTGCCCTTAGTAATAAAAGTAGTGTGAGGTAAGACTAGGGGTTAAGAGGCCCGGCGGGAAAGATTTGAAAAGGCCTTTATTTTTCAAGTAACACTGAGAATCCAAACGCTTTGAGTATAGCGTCAATTGGTGCAATACAAAAGCATTGCACATGAAGTGCAATGCCTCCTCATTCCCATGCATAAGCGAGTTGGCTTGCAGGTGGGCACGCGACGCGCCGGCGTCCTTCAGGGATATTCTGGCCAAGTTGGTCACGTTGCTGCGGTCGTACGCCGTCAGCGCCAGGGCTCCGCCGGCGAGCAGGACGACGGCGAGGGGCAGAGACGCGCGGCTTGGTGTCATGGTGGGACGGAGCTGAGTGGAGTCCGTCTTTTTCGTCGCCCGGCTGGAGCCGTTGTTGGGGTTTGTGGAGGCGCGCTGGCGCCGTTCGTGCGGGGCGCTGACGCTCTGTCGATGAGAACAGAGTTCAGAGTTCGTTTATCTCTGGCGTCGAAGCGCCCGATAGATAGGCAACCCACCACACTGTCAGAAAAAAAGTCCGTAAAATTACGGAGAAAGTTACTCTAATTTTGGGAATGGAGGCTCCGTAAATTTTTCCATATTTTTACGGAGATTTTCTATATTTTTACGGAGATAAACCGCATTTTTGCAGAAATAAACGCATTTTAACGGTTTACTTCCTTCCACCTTCAATGTTAATGCAAACAATGTCCTTTTAGACGAAAGTGATATTCTCCAAAACTGTTTGAAGATCCACTTGACCCCATGCCATAAGGATCGGCTAAATGGAGGGAAAACCCAAAGGCGAGGTCGCTTTAAGGAAGGCGCACTCTTGGAACACCTAATCAGTTGGTCACCCAACCCATCGATAACGTGAGTTAGTCTGTTCTTTTTGATAAGTAAGGCTTCTATTTCATTTATATACATAACTTCCATATTTTTACGGAGAAAATCCATTATTCAAAAAAAAAACGGAGATCTCCGTTAAAAAAAATGGACAGTCTCCGTTAAATTTCCGTATTTTTACGGAGTTTTCTGACAGTGCAGGCCTTCAACGCGGTCGTGTAGGGAAGGTTCCCTACAGGGGTTGCCTTTAATCGCGGGGTGACCCACTGAAAAATTTCGTGTACAATGATTGTGTGAATGTGCAAGATTTCTGGCGTTTTGCCACACATGTTGCCTACTTTGAGGCGTTTTTGCCACACATGTTGCCTATTTACAGGCGTTTTTGCCACCTGAACGTGGAATGTGGTCAAATTTTGTACCATGAATGTGGGAAGCTGTTCCCCCCTCGCCTTTAATGCAGACGAAAACGCGTCACCCCGCGGCCACCATTTACCGCGCCAGTGTCCGATTTCCAGCGCCTCCTCCCTAAATTTACCGTGCGACTCCGCTCTATCGAAAAATTCAAACGAGAACCACAAAGAAAGAGGAGTTCCCGAACCGACCCTCCAACGTGGCTGATGCTGTCACCCAAGGAGAACAGGTAGTCAAAATCAAATCAAACTGACATCAAATGATGTGATTTGGACATCAAAATGGACCAAATTTTGACCAAAGATGGCTCATTTTGAGGTCATATTGACATAATTTGGACTTTTTTGTTCTCCCTGGGCACGGTTCGGACGACATGGTTCTTCTTTCCGGTTCCGCTTTGGATAGAGCGGCGGCTTGAATGCAAGTATTGCACCGTTCGTCATTGTTGCAGATGGAGTGCGACGTGTGCATGCAGCACTTCGACTCGGAGGAGCGCCGCCCCAAGGTCCTTCCCTGCGGCCACACGTACTGCATCTCGTGCCTGAGGCAGCTGCCGGCCAAGCAGTGCCCCGTCGACAAGAAGGTAAGGCCCAGCCTCAAACAGTGTGGTGGTCATGTTTCTTTTCTCTCCGACAGCGCATCAATGCTTGCATGGAATTAGTCCATGAAGTGGAGGGAGGACGCAACTCAATTTTCATATTTTTTCAAAGAGAAACATTTACCTGTTTGCAGAGTAAACTAAGCAAAACAAATGAATCATGCAGATGGATATTAGTCAAGAAAGCATGGTGAAAATTTTCCTTAGTCACTCCGTTGACGGTTGCTGTGATTTAAATCTTTACGTTAGTATGGATTACGGAACTATGTTCACTTAGTTCTCCCAAACAAGGTGGAATTCGGAGACTATTCAAGTGGAGCTGAGGTATCAGTAAAGTCTTTAATAGTGCTCAGGAACATTATTTAGGAGTTACCTCTCTTTTTGGAACTCGTGTTCAAAACTTAAGGGTGGTTTAAGTTAACTCTTTCTCATGTAAGTCATATAAATACAAGTTGAGTTATCTCCTTTTTCAATTTTGTGCAATGAAGTCATGTGGACTCTGGTTGAGTTATCTCCATTTTCTGATGAAAGTAAGACCGCAACCAGGGCAAGTTGAGTTATATCCAAAAAGGATACCAAAAAATATCAGAAGATCTACGTGGGTTTTCTCCTAGGCAGCTTGGAATTAATTAATTAAATCAAATAATTTGGTGTAATGATGAAAGCCATCCTGAGGCACAATAACAAGGTAGGTGTACGCCAGGCCGTATCTTGTTGTAACAGGCTTCGCGATGCTGCGCCAGTTGCGACAATCCACGCCTGGCGTATACACCTACCTTGGCCTTCGGCAGGCTGTTCCGAGACAAACAGTAGAAATGGGCGTGATCCCCTCAAAAAATAGCATTTGGCGATCAAAATCTACACTGATGGGACTTAACTGTGGGTCGGGGGTCAGGATGGCTTCTAGTTTCGTCATTAGCACCCTCATAAACACAGGAAATGATACGAGACTCGACCTAAAGTTGAAAGTACCTGTCTTTTTTCTGCCGTTTTCTAAGTGTTTTTCAGTTAATATGACCAAATAGATTGAGTTAGAAAGCTGAATTTTGGTTTGTGGCGATGATGATGATAGCCAAGGACATGCCATGCCTAATGACCCTGCAAAATCGGCCGAGCCGTTTAGGAGGAGTAGTGAACACACACACAGACAGACAGAAATTTAATTTTAGCCGCACTCGAGTAACGGGCTTTGCTATCGCTCAGCCAATAAATTAGCTCAGTTTGCATATAAGTCAAGTTATTCCATTCATCCGCTTTCTGGATCAATTATTATTGGAAAATAACTGAACCAGATTCCACATGACCCCGTTGCACAACAAAACGGCAAAAGAAGATAGCTCAACTTGTGTTTTTATGACTCTAATGTATAAAGAGTTAACTCAACTTAAACCCCCGTTTATTTCAGAACCTCGAGTTGGAAAAAAAGAGGTAACTCCAAAAATGTACGACAGCACTGTAGACTTAACGCAGACCTCAGCTCCAGTTGAATTGTCTCCAAATTCTACCTCATTTGGGAGAACTAAGTAAACGTGGTTCCGTAGTCCATTGCAACGAAATATTTAAATCACTCAAACCGTCTACGAAGTGATCTTACGTCTAAGAAAATTTTCAGTTACTAATCATGCTTTCTTATTAATATCCTTCTGCATGATTTATTTGTTTGGATTTAGTTAACCCTGCAAACAGTTAAATGTATCTCCTGAAAACTGATGAAATTTCAGTTGTCCTCTTCTTCTGCCACATGGATTTATGACATCACATTTGTTGAATGAAGGCGTTTAATGTTCATTCTGCTTCACATGAGAGCCAACTCTTCGTGGTAGTAATTCTTCGTCTTCTTTTGACTGCAGGTGTTCCAGCTTGACAATTTATCGGACAACTACAAGCTCCTCACGTAAGTTTTGAGGTTATTTCGAAGAAGCGCCGACCGCAAACGCACAGTCTCAGCACGTTGCTGAATTTTTACTCATTAATTAAGTATTCGTATAAGCAACAATAATACTTAGTATTTTCTAAGTACTCATGACTAATTTCCTTTGTAAAATTATGTACAAAACCAAATTGTCAGTACATTATTTAATATTTCCGTATTTCTTGAAAGAAGGAAAAAGTATGTATTATGGTTGCACAAATTACTTGCTTAAGTTCTGACAAAATGAAGAAAAAGTCAGTACCGTGCTGAGAGTGTGCCGGCGGGGAAGGCCACCAAAGACACACTGTTAACACGTGCAAAACCGTCCACATATTTTTCAACGGCGTCTTTTCTAATTTTAAGTGTGAAAGAAAAGTGATGGAGCAGGTATGTTGTCCAGTGTTGCAGCGTCTTCTCTGCTTCCGCCTGTCCGCTTCTGGTGTATCAGCTGCGAGAAGGAGGCGACCGGGCACTGCGTGGACCGGCACGACATCCGCAGCGTCACGGCTCAGCGCACCAAGGCGTCAGAGTCGCTGCTGAGCGAGCTGCACGAGGGCGAGGAGGCCCTGGCCGCGCTGGCCGGCGTGCTGGACGAGGAGGCCGTGAACAGGCAGGCGCAGGACTGCAGCGATCTGCTGAAGCAGGAGCGGGTTCGTCTGGCCTCAGCGAGGAACCGGCTGCTGGACGCGGTGGGGGCGGAGGCGTCGGTCTGGGAGCAGGCCACGCAAGCCGCGGTCGCGGTGCAGAGCGTTAACGGTTGGTGACGCCCAAGTTTTCCCATCAGAGTGATTCCATATCTAGGGAGCACAAGATTTTTTTTGGTGTCACCAATCTGGACCAAAGTTTTACCACGTGTACCCCTAGGGTAGAGAAAGATGCCCACAAATTTTGAAGGTCCTAGGTCGACTCAGTCCGGAGCAGTGGGCCTTAGTGTGTTTTGCGACTTTTTGGTAAAAGTCAACTTTGAAGGTGCAAATCGATGGGAAGGGCTTGACCTAGGGACTTGAAAATTTTACCAGGTCTTCGGGGGTATGAGGACAACATTTAAGAATTTTTTCAAGAATTTTGAAAAACTTTTACTTTTTGAAAAAAGTTGAACTTTTTTTTCTAGATCTCAAAAACGTATTTTTGAAAAAAATTGAAATTTTTTGAGAAAGTACCTTTTGGTCCTAGTAACTGTACAAAATTTCAGCCTGGGCACAGACATGGTTTGGGAGCTATGGAAGAAAGCGTAAATTTCACTCCGTAGTCTGAAAGACTTTAGCAGAGAAATGGCTCATTTGTAGCATGGGTATATAAGAATGGGATAAGCTATGATCCCAAGATAGACAGTGGTCTGATGAGTACCTTCTTTTTGAGATCTAGAAAAAAAATTAAAGTCCAACTTTTTTCAAAAAGTAAAAGTTTTTTCTAAATTCTTGAAAAAATTCTGAAATGTTGTCCTTATACCTCCGAAGACCTGGTAAAATTTTCAAGTCCCTAGGTCAAGCCCTTCCCATCGATTTGCACCTTCAGAATTGACTTTTACCAAAAAGTCGCAAAACACACTAAGGTCCTCTGCTCCGGACTGAGTCGACCTAGGACCGTCAAAATTTGTGGGCATCTTTCTCTACCCTAGGGGTACATGTGGTAAAATTCTGGTCCAGATCAGTGACGCCAAAAAAAATCTTGTGCTCCCTAGATATGGAATCACTTATCAACCAAGCGGTCGCGCAAAGCGTTTACTCACTCCTTCTCCCTCGCTCGCACCCTTAAGGTTAAATTTTAAGGTCTTTCAATGAACGATCAAGGCGAAATTCACGATGCCTCTCCGGACCAAATCTTTCATTTAGGTCTCAACTATCTTCCTAATCGAAAAAAACCGGCGTAAACACAATATACAGTTGTGTGTGAAATTGTGTTCACGCCGTTATTGTTCAGCGACGAGAAACTATGTTCGGAATCAGCCTGCAGCAGCTAGCATCCCTTTCTTTCGTGTCCAGCAGAACTGTCCCAGAGCGCCGCCCAGCTGACGAATGACGTATTCGACCCCTCGACGTCATGGACCGTGCTGGGCGCTGTAGGGGGCGTCGCGGCGTGGACTGGCGAGATGCGGCCCGCGGAGAACGCGGCGGCCAGGCTGCTGCTGTGCGGTTTGGCGTGTAGTGGAGGGCTCCGGGCGTCGGCGCAGCAACCCGATAAGCAGCCTAATCCGGTGCAGCAACCCGTTAAGCAGCCCAATCCGGTGCAGCAACCCGATAAGCAGCCCAATCAGCAACAAGAACAGAAACAAGCTCGGAGGCGGAGGCTGTCGATCATTGTGGTGAGCCTCCAGTCCTTCTCTTGCCTCTCTCTGTGACACTCAAGAAAAATTCCATTTACTTCCGACTGCGTTCCTCCGTAGATTGTGAAGAAAGATTACTTTCGTGTATTTATCGTAAATAAATACCGGGGGGACGGGCCAGTATGATACGTGCTGTGCGTCCGTCCGTCCGCTACTTTTGTGAGACTAAAGATAATAAAATTGCTCCAACAGAGAACGCGTGGCAGGGGGTCAGCGGACGGTTACCTGCATCAGCCACGTCCAAAATTTCTACATTGTTTAAGGTGAAGAGGGGGATGAAGGCTCCTCTAGGTCAAGGGGACCGCATCGCGGCTTCTACCGGTGCTAAGGACTGCTACGGTAGGTAAACAAGGTAGGTTTACGCCAGACCGCATCTTGTCGTAACAGGCTTCGCGATATCTCGCTGCCTGTTCCTCCAACCCGCGGCTGGCGTACCTCCCTTTGGCCTGCGGCGCTAGCCTGCCTTCGGCAGGAAATGCTTGCCCACCGTCAGTTACTTCTAATTTCTTGCATACTGGGGGCTCCCCCCCCCAAAACCCCCCCTTTATTCTAGATAGAGTTGTTTCATCTACAAATTACACGATCTTGCCCCTTGTAACTTTTTAACTTGTGGGGGCTGGGGTCACCGCCCCCCAGCCCCCCCTTTCCATCAAGGCAGGCGAGATCTGCTTGCAGAAAACTCGATTTTTCGCCGTTTTTAGGGTGTTTTTCGGCTTAAAAACTGAACCAGTTGAGCTAGGATAATAAAATTTTCGCGTGTGCCGAGCCAAGAACATATCTAATGAGCCTGCAAAATCTCAGCAAGATCGGCCGAGCCGTTCAGGAGGAGTAGTGCGCACAGACACACCACACACACGCAGACAGAAAAAACTTTTCAACCCCGGAGTAACGGGCTTCGCTATCGCTCAGCCAACAATTTGATGTCCCTGCCCCTTTGTGACGAAATGGTTCGTCTTACAAAGACGCGGTTTGCGCGATGGTGCTTTTAGTGCTTCAAAAAGATCCATATTGGGTTTGAAAGTTTCTGAGGTTTTCAGATGGCTGCGGCCTCCGGAAAGGGGCAAATGTAAACTCCGTAGCTGTTCCGATGCGTAGTTCACTAAATTTTCGCCTCTCGTCTAAACGAGACCAGGACCGAGCACAGGACAATCGTTCCCGACGGCTCTATTTGCTAAGGCACTTTCATACTTTAACTTAATCCCACTGACTGTAGTAAAAAGTTTGAAGCTTTGTGCCCGCATAGAATTAACTTTTTTCCCAACGTTTTCACTGCCCAAAAAACCACATGTACACTGTTACGAGTTTTGGGACTCCAGGAGACAAACGGTAAGTCGCAGCCTCAATCTGAGGGCTGCAATGGATTCCGGATGAAAAAACACTTCTAGACACCAAGTTTGAGGGATGTGTGTCAAATGGCTAGCACCTGATTGGTCCCCAAAATTTTAAAAAGGGGGTCGCGTTTTTTTTTTTAAAGTAAACTCCGTACCCGATTTGCCACGGATCCCCCGTGCTCAAACTTTCGAAATGTGGATGAAAACAATGCTTTGGTGGTCCTTTAGTCAGCTGTGTATGCGCGTTCTACTGTTTCAACTCATACGGCTGCAATCCAGGTATTTGCTTCAAAATGAAACTCCGTAGGCGTCAATTTATGTAAACTCCGTAGACATTTCCCCTATAATTGGCTGAGCGTTAGCGAAGCCTGTTACTCCAGTTGGGTTTAAAAACTTTTTCTGTCTGTTTGTTTGTCTGTCTGTCGTGTGTATACAGTACTCCTCCTGAACGGCTCGGCCGATCTGGCTGAGATTTTGCAGGCTCATTAGATATGTTCTTGGCTCGGCACACGCTAAATTTCACTATCCTAGCTCAACTGGTTCAGTTTTTATAGCCGAAAAACACCTACAAAATGGCAAAAAATCGAGTTTTCTGCAGGTAGATCTCAACCACTAATGGGGGGTTTCAAATAATCCCCGTTTTACAAAAAATCGCGATTATTTTCGATTAATCGCCCAGGCCTAGGCGCTGAGTGCTGCGCATTCGATTCCTACTTTTTTGCGTCGCGGTGTTCGTACCACGTGACCCTGGATGGCAGGGGACATTACCGTTGGGATGTTAGAAAAAAATACAATCCTACAGGGTCAAAAAGTTTAAAAAAAGGGGAAAGGGGAAAAAAAACGCTCAACTTTGAAAGTGTGCCATTTCTAAACGGTTCGTCGGAAAAATATGAGGTTGTGCTCATTGGTTTCCTTGGGAGCGATTCTCACGTTTGGGGGTAGTTTCGTTTCTTCTGACTCCTGTGCCCAAACGAGCGCCGATATCGACAGGGGGTTTGTTTCTGATGTTAGGGAGGTCCATTGCCCACTAAACGCACACATTTCGAAAAGTTCACGTTCGTTGGATTGGTCTACGTAGCGCTTGGAATACCCTAAATGTAACTTCCGTGATTGTCCTAAGAGAACATACTCGAACTTTCCCCCCCAGTGTGGCGGTGTGGTTCGAAAATGCTCCCAACTGTCGATGGGGATTCGAAGCTTGGCATGTCTCGAGCTAATTTCAACCGAAGACCAATACGCCAGACTTCTTTCAAAGGTACTTATGCTGCAACGAAAAATGTCCACCGTATATTCAATTTCACTACACAAATTTCAAAAAGGCAGCTCTGGACTTCTCCCTAAGCCAAACTTTTAACTTTCCATGACACAAGCCATCAAAGTGGAGTCCCTGGGATATAATTTCATGGGTCGCGGAAATCTAAGATGCTGTACACGGTCTCAAAGCGGGCTAGAGCATTATAAAATGGCGTGTATCAACAATTACCTGTAACTTCCGTGGCACCCTTTTCCCAATGTTGCAGCAGCACTAGGTGAAAAAATTTTCCGCTTATATGTCGGGCTTAGAGTATCATTTGGCCCTGGAACGACTTTTAAGCCACAGCAAGCCCGAGTCAGCCGTTTAAAACCGATTTTCACACTTTGTAACTTCCGGTAACGTAATTTCCGTGATCAAAAACCCACTAAAACGTACGGGAATACCTAATGGCTCATGTTTTTAGGAAGGTAGTTCAAGGTCTTTACTATAAATACCATTGCCATAAATGTAGTATCATCCAGGACCCCAATAATCAGAAAAACTCAATTGGATATTTCTCACTTTCGGCAAATCGGAGACGCCAAAACTACCCCGAAACGTGAGAATCGCTCTTGGCTCATTTGCTAAAGTTAAGGGGGCAGTAGCGTCATTTTCACGTGTTTTGACGATTTTCGAACCTCCTGTTTGGACTTTAAAATAAAGATAAGTATGAATGCCAGAGGCAAACGGCAGGCACCATTTGAAAGATAAAAGTTTTTTCAACATTTTCAAAAAAAAAAATTTTTTTAGCATTGAATTAGGATGTTTTGTGTTATATGCAAAAATGGTCTGCAAAATTACATGGTGTCATGCGCGCACGATTGCAGCCAAAGTTTTTAACTTTTTACCAATCGGTAAAATGCATCTGAAAAAGCATGAAATTGCCCTTAAAATGACCCTTGGGTTTCAATATTGGGCAAGAAAAACTATTGAAACGCTCATCTTCAACTTAAGATGGAAACGAACCACATTTTTTGGCCCAAAATTAAAAACCCCTGGGTCATTTTATGGGAATTTCATGCTTTTTCAATGCATTTTACCGATTGGTAAAAA